TTTTTTTTTTTTTTTTGCTTTGGATACCTCATCTACAAGACATAGTGACTTTTAGAACGCGTTGAAAAAATGATTTTCAAAATCTTCGTTTTAGAACGCAACAATCACCTGTGATTTCACAAGTAACCAAAAAGAGATAACTGTGAAACTCAGAAAAGCCGAAACGGCAATTTAGAAGGCTGCATTAAAAAAATCAAAAGAAAAATATTTTTTCAGCCAGCTCAAAGGACGCAGTTCCAGCCTTACAAGAACACATACTGTTTTTATTGGCCATTCACTTTGAACTTGTTTAAAAATGATCTCGTTCTTTTCTGAGCGCAAATAAACTCTTTTTTTTTTTTCATCATGATTGGCTGCTATTATATTTGAATCAGAATTTATGTTTTTTCTCTACACTTTACTTAATTTACGGTACACTCAGGTACTTCTAAATGTTTCTACAGTGCCAGCACATTCTTTCCTACTGCCAGCTTAAAAGAAGTACACAAAAATTATTCTCTGACGAAACCGAACGATCGACCTCAATCTTCCGTATTTCTTGGACACTTGTAAACGGTATCACTCTCTCCTTCTCCAAATAACCATTTTGTTACCTAACCAACCTGAGCTTACATGCGCGAATTGAACACGGCAGTAAATGATTTCAACTGTCAGCTAGATGTGCAAAACATTTCTTCAATATTTCGCACCTGCACAGGGTAGAGAGCCAATTTAACCACTGAATTTTTTATTTCCTATTTTCTTACCGATACCAGTATAACCGCAGAAACCGACTGCAGTTTAATACAATTATTTATATTTAACCGCAACACAAGGTTTGCAAAAAACGACCATTTTTTCTTCAAGAAACTCTTTGCTTTCTTGTAAAAAATGTATTAACAAAGAGACCACCCGTACAGAGGACTTGTAGAACTTGCTGAACAAGTGCGATTGCACGTTCTTGGGCACTGCTCTGTCATATAACCGTAGTAGACTGGGTGGTTGCAAAAAGATACACGTTGAAAACAGTCGCTGCTACCGTTATTTGCTCGATCAACGCAGTTGACTAAAGAGCTCTGTAGCAGACTTCTGATCTAGACTGCAACTGAAGCTTAAAGAGTGACTTACATTTGATGACACTGGCGGTAGTGGTTTCTGAAATAAACTTAGCAGGCCTCTTGCAAATGAAACCTTGATAACCTGCATATCTCTGATTACAGGCCATTCCTGACCACGAACCTGCTACCGTGCCCGGGGCATTTGCTACCACGCAACCTCTAGTTGGTGTAACATTGTTTGCCCAGTTTCGATAAACCGATGTGCTGCTGTCAACCCATTGCCAATCGTTTCCAGAACGCTGTAGACCCACCCAGTATTTCATGTTCGGCCTTAAACCTAGAAGCGAAGAAGTAATTGACGTTTAGACATTTGCAATCTTTCGCTCAAATTTAACAGACCAGTTTGAAAAACTATTGAATGTAGCTAACTCTCTACAAAATTTTTTTCTCCTTCCTCAATTATGGTTACTAAAGTGGTATCGTGTCCTACTTGTCTGCAAATATTGGATGCTTGACTGTAGGTTGCATTTGCCTCCATCTGCAAGTGACAATAGTAATTTTTAAAGAACAGTTAAATGTATTTTGTCAGCATTAGCATGAAAGTTACCGCGAAGTAGCAAGAACCAGCGAAATACCTCCACTTTTGGTTTGGGCAGGTGCCTAAACAAGTAAAGACGAAGAAATCCTAAACGAAATTTCTTTACGGTTTTTTTAGAAATTAAAACAGACTACTAAATTAACTACAAAGAGGTAGTGATTATCGTTAAAATACAATTTTCTCCGCTTTACGTCGTTAAAGGCTTTTTTTCGCTACCGCTCGTGAAAAAACAGAAAAAAAAACATTTTTTATTCGTGTCTACCTAAACGCAAGCCAGGAGTAGAGATTACTACGAGTGTTGAGAGGAACCAAAACATTCTCGAGAAGCCCATGCTAAATTGGAAGACAAGAGGAAAACTAGTAACGAAACAATTTCGGCATCGCACCTTTTATACTAGAAATGGACATTTAAACTGTCGAAACAAATATGTTGCCTTGAAAGGCAGACAGTATAAAAACACCGTGAGTGTTCTGCAGAAAGATACAACAAGACAACTAAAGTACTAGAAAAAAAAGAGAAGATGAAAAATAACGAAAGCAGCCATGGGAAGCGGAAAAAGGCCGGAAAAACATAGTACGTCAAGGTACAGGGGTACATACATACAAAACATTGCTTTTTGTTCCTCTGCAGCCGACTTGTGTTTTTAAAGCCACCTCAGATCTTTTTTATTTCATAGCCACAAAAAGTAGTTTTTTACCGTTTTTCGCTTTTCTCAGCACTCAAGGTAATCTCTAGTTGTGCTTTGAAATACACGACAAAATTATACACCATTACCAGTCATTACCATAAGAAAGTAAGTAATAAGTATCTAGTAAAAATTTTTATACGGCAAATCAAAACTGAGTTCGAGAAACCACGTAAAAAAGCACTTTCCTTATATATTTCTCCAGTACACCAAACGTCGATTTTGTCGGCAGTCGTGGTCAGTTTTCAAGATCTTAGAGGCTTGGGAAGGTGATTTCTCAAACGAAAAGGTAACATTTCTAGAAATGCCTCTTTGCGCTAATCAGTTTTTGCTCAGTATATTAAAATCTACTTGTAGAAAGCAGCTCTAACGAGTGCACTTAAAAGGTACGCTTTCCAGTAAATTTCTTCCGATTTGTGGAATAAATAATAGGCGTTTGTAAACCGTATGTTATTAGGAGCAGGAAATTAGGATCTGCACAGCGAGGTGCTGTTTTTAACCAAATGATCGTGTTTTGGCGAACTTACAGCCAGTAATCGTCGTTAAACTCTCATTTGAGAAAAAACCGGTGAAAAGAAGGTGAAGAAACTGAAGAGATGGGAACTGAAACCAAATTGTCAAGAAGAGGTAGAATTTTTTGTACTCTGGAATAAAAATTCAATTGCAAAATTTCTTGTAAGGCTCAAGAAAGAAAAAGGTTTTGTTACTGTCAGAGAATGTTCAAACCGCAAAGCTTAATCTTTTGCATTTTTTCAATGATAAACTAGTAGCTTAGCGGAGAAACTGCAGTGAAAATTTGTATTCAAGTTTGTTTGAAGAAACAGAAAAATATAACGTACAAATTTGGCAAGATTTTTTTTCTTTAACTGCAGTACTTTAATTTCAAACCGGATTTTGAACATGTCTTCATGAAATTCTGCAAACTTTCATTACAATCTTACTGTTTATTCAAATGATTGGAAATTTTCCGATTTATATTCCTTACGGAGCAAATTTTTAAGCCCTTGTTCGTACAAAGTTTTACTGTTTTCAACAAATCTGATACTTTGAATTTTTCACTTAGCTTGTAAATGGTTTTTGAACAGCTTCAAATCAAGATTTTGTTTGACGTGAAGGAGCAGATTGACAGAATTATTAGTTACTTTTCCTTGCTAATGTAATTTTCGTCAAATAGTTATGATCAATGAACGTGCAGAAGTAGCACGTAAATGTTAATAGACATGGAGAACTAAGTCAAAAATGAAATAGTTAATCTTAGTAAACTAAGTAAATATACTCTTTTAGGTGATTTACTTTGTTTTTGTAGTCCTAGGACTTTACTGCACTGTCTTCGGAATTGAAGAGGGCGCAGCTTCGTAATTTTTTGCTGACGCAAATAGTCAAGATTTCTTCTTCTGGTGCGTCCAGGATATCCGATTTTTCATATATAATGTTTCGCTCAAGATCATTAACGTATATAGTATCCTTGTCTAAATCACTGTTGTAGAAATCTACATTTTGAGAACGGTGTCTATAAATAAAATTATCAG